AAGAAAACTTAGGAACCCGAAGAATAACAAAGCTCATCTTGAGCAGATGGAAAGATAGAGTTCTCGCTTAATGCTTCACGGACCAAGGAAAAACTTTAAATAATCAAACACGTCAACTACGCTTCATCTTGCAAACAGGATTAGGGCGAGATTGACCACACACAACTTGTGTCGGCGCTTTACCTGAGATCACGAGTTTGACTTTCCGAATACCTAGTTTAAAGTAGATCACATTTGTTTCTCAAGCGTCTATTTGTACAGTTTGTACATTTATCTCCGGTCTTTCTTATCTGCTTTATCTGTCTTCAAAAATATTGTAAGCACTATAAAAAATATATTTTGGATGGCTCTTGTATCAATAGAAAGTACACACACACATCAAGGTATATATTTATAAAATGTCGATAGTAGGTATATTGACATACCGAATAAAAATCAAACATCAAAATAAAATATAATAAATAAAGAAATGGGAAAAGAATCGTGCAATGTTGTTGCACTTGAAGTCAATTTATTTTATTCAATTATCATAGTATGAACGTTTCAATTTGGTAAAATTATCACGAAAAATTTTCTGATGAGACATTCTAAAGATAAAATATTATGTTTAAATATTGTAAGCGATTAAGATAAGCTTTCTAAAACTACGCTCTCGTTTCTCGCCACGGTATTTTTTTGTGAGTTTATGAATATCTAAATACCGTAATGTGCTTTTCTCCCAAAAGATACCAATTTGACAAGATGTAAGTATGTATTTCATAGTACAGTTTTATGCTCAAATCAAGTTCTCTGACGACGCTCAGCTCTTGCGTTTTATAAATTTGTTTCCGCGTCGATTCGTAGATTCGCTTCCACGTCGCGGAGCAAATATTTTCTTTTCAGGACGATTCGGCATTAATGCGAGTATTAAAGGCCGCGAGCAAGAAAGCGACGAGAGAGCATTAGTGCCGCCTTATTAGGCCCGCGAAAAATAGCCGAACGTCTTTCCCTCGGCAGGTGATGGCATAATACGGTCGCGGCATCGCCACTTCCCCGTGGCAGCTAATTCCACATTAACTGCACTCTCTAAATCTCTGTCAACGCCGTCTCTGGAGCGGCCTCGACAAAAGCCGAGATTCGATTCCCGGTGATACACACACGCACCCTCGCTCACACATCCGTCCGCGCGCGCGCGCACACACACGCATCGCCGGGGTCCCGGAGTCGATTTCAAAACGACTACTTACGGCTCTCTCAGGAGCACCGAAACGACATGGACCGCGGCGTCGGTAGACGGCGAGGGGAGTCATCCGACCATGAAACGCCAAACTAAACGGCGCTTTGGGCGCCCAAATACAAGGCTGGAGAAGTGCTATGTGCGTAGAGTTTCGCACAAACGCACGCGCATACACGAAACGCGGTCGTGCCGCCCCTCGGAAGCTGAGTAAATTCAGACGAGATTACGGAAAGTGTACTGAGTCTGATGAAAAGGGTCCTGGGGCACTTAGAAAGCAAAAGGCAATCTACACAATGTAATAATTAACTCTTAATAGAGTCTATCTTTGCTATAATAATATTAAATATTTGTGATCTAGAACAAATGTTGGCAGAAAATCACGAAAGAATAAAATCATCCCAAGGGAAGGAAATGATTTGCATGATATTCGTAAAGAAATTGCAGAGGAAGCTAATTATATAAGTTACATGATATACATATTCATGCATTCATGATATGTAATTTATTTATATATGAACTGAAACCATCCGCGTCTTAATTTTTAGTTTTGTTTCAAGAAATACAAGAAGCGGCATAATTTCCTGCTACTCGTGCAACGCCGCGGGCTGTAATTTCGCGATGCCGGTGTACGTAGGTGCGCAGATATCGCGTATTTATACCGGCGTACGTGGAGCATCACAAAAAGGGCATAATGGAGCCTGTAGTCAGATAGGTGTACATAACGAGGCCACAGGAGGGGTGGGGTAAGGCACGAGGAGGCAGGGTGGCGCGCGGAGGTTGTCGAGATATAAATGGCGGGGAGGAGAGATCAGAGAGGGTTGTTCCCCCTCATCCAGAACGCATCTGCCCCATTATGCTGCCCCGGGGCACTCCCGAGACCATTAATCCTCGCTAAACGACAGCCATTTTGTACCTAAACTGGATTGCCGACTCACTAACTGGTTTTGAGGACGCTTAATAGACTACTCGGTGCTCCTATTATGGCGATCGCGCGTCCGTGCTGTATTTCGGTGTCGTTTATTCCCCGTTAATGTGCAAATCGCGGGGAACGCTCGGGACATCCCCTCCTCCGAGGTGCGCGCGCTCGTGCAAACGTCGTTCGTACATTTTGCTCGTCACGGTGCTGGCGATTTACAAAAGACAGAAAGAAATAGTTCAACAACGACAAAAACGTTTATTGTTGCATAGTATCTCATTAGCTCTTTTTAGATCCGTCAATCCACATTTATCGCGTAATTCCAGATTTCTCGTTCAGTACTTAATTGCAAACTTTTTAAAAAATATTACAAATCCGCAAAATAAGATTCTAATTATTTTATATAATAACAATCTTGGTGCTATCGATTCAATTTTAAAGTTTCGTAATTCTTACTAATAATATTAATAAACTTTATAATTTTTAATCTAGGTATTGAATTTAGAAAAGTGTGAGCAAAGAAGTGAAATTATGATATTTTTCTATGTATACGCATGTGTTAGCGTATATTAAATATAGTCTCAGTAGCGGTTTATCAAATTAAATCACTCGCCGGTTAAACAATCTCGACCGCTGTGTCGCCTAATTAACGTCGAGTTGGGCACAGCGAGCAGCGGCGCGTCTTAATTGACTCCGCGATTCTATTTCACATCGCGTTTAAACACACACTCGCGTGTAACGCGCGTAATAAAGTCCGCCTGGAGCGAGAAGAATCGCCGGGAATTACGAAAGCATCAGCGCGGCAATCCCGCTGGCAAAAACCACCTTGACGAGGCGGCCAGTTGTAACGAGATTTTCGTTAATCGGCTTGACTGCCAAGACCGTGGCGAAATGATTCCTCCTCCGGTCGGTTTACCCTGCGAGACGCGCCGGGACTACACGAAAGGTTGTCACTTGCCATTATCGTCGTGATGCCGATCGGATTAGTGTAGCCCTAAAGTATCGTTAATCCACCGACGACATTGTCGCGATTGTACGGACCAAATGTACCAGCTAAGAGTTCGAACACATAAGACTTATCATGATTAATTCCGAACCATCTCGAAATAATCTTACAGACTTTTTTTATGCCATATTTGTGAAAACAGCGATTTAATTGATGAGGAGTAAAAGTTACAAATTTGCTTGATTTTTTTATGAGTAATTAAACTAATTAAGGTATCATCCTTTTCACTATTGAATAGATTACAATTTTCTTCTTCGTTATAAAATATTTTTCGTACGTTATGTACTGATAAAATATCAGATCTGATCGAACAACAAAATTGACGGAAGAAAGATTGACTTCATATAAAAATAATAATTGATTATATAATTTTTAATCTACGGTATCTGAATTACTTAATTGTATTTATTTTTAAAAAACTTTTGGCTACAAGAAGCTCTCGCTACTTTAATGCCTCGTTATCTTGGCTTTTAATAAAATGTTTATTTCTTTGTACTATAGCGACACAAATAAGAGCATCATAAAAAGCAAGAGACAACGAGATGACGCGTGCACGTTGTCCAAGATCTTCTCAACTCTCTTCGCCACTGGCGAACGGTAAAAACCCTATGCTTGACAGCTCAATTCTCTCTTTCTGCTTTCTCCCGCCTTCTGGTGCATCTCTTTCCTTACCAGAAGTGCGCGCGTGTGTTGCTGGCTTACCGCAAGCGCTTCCCCACCCTCACTGCATCGATATGCTTCCCTTCTTTTTGGATTGAAGATTCAATATTCCGGCTTTACCGACGCTTCAATTTCTACTTCCCAAACTTTCAAGTATTCCTCGAAATATTGTTACTTGTGCAATTATCCATTCCATAATTTTATAACACACTGGCTAGAAAAAAAGTGCTAATTTTTGAAGCTACTAAAACTATTTTTTAGAAACAATTACATACAATACAACATGCTTTATCCGCTGACAATTATAGTAGACCAAGTGGTCAGCTGAAAATTAACCTGTCGCAAGATTGCAGTCACGTGTCTGAGCACGCACGCTAATCCCGATAATTAAATATGACCGGTGTCGAGGTCGCGCGCATCACGGGCACCGTGGTAAATCCTAGATCGACCAGCAGCGCCCGCTCTCTCGTGAGAGGAGCGGAACGAGAAACCACGACGCCGTCCATCGGGCGAACGCGAGAGGGACGCTGGTGCGCCCAGCGTGCGCCCGTGCAACACAGCCACGTGCACCCGTATTGCCAATCAATTCGCGCATTGCGCGCCCGGGAATTAGACAATTAGGAGTCGTCACGTTCCGCCCGGTCCCGCCGCGTTCCACCGCCACGCCGCGTCTCATCGACCATCCTCGGTCCCCACCACCTGGCCGCTCTCGGACACGGGTGATGCATCCAACTCCATCTGGCGAGCCCGACGACCCAGAAGAAGGGGCACCTCTTCAGTATTCAATCCACCTCGGTGCCCGCTATTGGTCCCCGTCCGACCACGAAGAACGCCCACATGCGAAACGCCCGAGATGCGCGCCGACTCGCGCGTATTGGTCGAGCCGAAGCCTCGGTACCGGTTCTGCGAGCGTTGCGGGGGCGGCGCGCACCCGGCAGCGACATTCGAGAGCGAGAAAAGAGAGAGAGAGCGAGGGAGAGAGAAAGAGAATGGACCTCGGCAGGGCTCTCCGCCGCGAGTGCAGCCGAGCTGGTAATCAGTGCCGTTTCCGCGGCAGTGGCGGCCACCACGCGGCAGATTACACAGATTACACCGATTACATTTGTAGCCGACCGCTGACGGTCGTTTCTTTTCGGGCAGACCGCCGCGCGCTACCATCTTATCCCCTCCGTCGCGTGACCCGCGCTGGAGTGCGTGCTTGACCATCCTCTCGGTGAACCGTCGCCGGGCCGTGTCATCGGGGTGCACGAAGAGTCCGAGGATTCTGGCAGAAACCCAGGAATGTTGAAGGGCACCGCGTATCGAACGACGTCGGCGTTCAATACCCTCGTACACGCGGAGGAACGCGTTGACGGCAGCGACGGCCGTCGCATGACGGACTTTACCTACTGACAGTGGAAATCAGCCGAGCTGTCATCCGAAAATCTGTCGGCGCGGAAATATTGACACTTGTAATCCGATGGTGAAACAGAAACGGAAAGAAGTGCACTGTATATACGTATACTATATGTACTACGTGGGAGATTTCGAAAGCACAACGCTGTGGATCTTTTAGAATATATTGGGAAGATATGCACAACAGATTAGAATAATCGTCGACTTATGGAACATTTATTCAATTGAGTTATAATATATTACGACAGCAGGCGAGCTGTCAACGTGAAACTCACTCGCGCAACGTGATTTTTAATTAAGATACAGTGCAATTTTTCTCCCGCACACCTTTGTTTAAAGCACAGTTTAAATGTTTTTGTACAAACTCGTTAAATGTTATCTGAGAAAAGAGCGTAAAATATCGTGAAAAAAAGTTGCCGTGTAAGAGCATCGAAACACTGAAGATCGCCGGAGATGCGAAAGGTATAAAAGTTAAGAGATAAGAAGAGTTGTGTCATCATGTTGATATCCTAAAAACACTCCTCTGACTTTAATGGGGGAATCCGCTCGTGTCGGCTGGGTCATTCCGCGGCGATGCGGCGGATTCCGAGAATAACGGAGAGCACGGGACTTGCAGAGGTGACAGGTTGTGCCTACGTCGCTTTGACGTCACCGGGATTCGTCTAGGAATCACGATGTGACTGATCGTCACCTGAAAGTACCGTGTAGTTCCATCGCGTCAGTATATCACATCGATCGTCCTTTGACAGGCATTTGACAGAAGAGAAACTGATGCAGCAATTATCAGCTGACATTTTAACGCTATTTATTCGGAGTTTCAGAGATGGAAATCGCAGTTTAATGGATACAGCGAGCAATTCAACATGGAATTAAGGCAAATAAACGGCTGATTCTCGAATTAATCCGAAACGTTGGAAAAATAACATTTGGAGACTTGTGAGACGTGAGGATCTAAGCGACCGACACGTGAGAATCACGGCATGAGCAACGGCGAAGGCGTAGTGACAGGCCCGGGTTCCGGCAGCGATCGTCTGTGCGAGGACGTCGACATGGCCACCCCGACGTCAGCGTCGTCGAATCTGAAGCCGCGAAGCGGTAAAATCAGCTTCAGCGTCGACTCCCTGCTGAGCGGCACGAAGAAGAGTGCCATCAGCGGCGGCACTTTCGCGGCGAGGCGAGACAACGACGATCGGCTGGACGCCGAGAAAAATCTCGAGATGGAGACCAGGTATCGAGAGCTGCTGATAGAGCAGCAGAGGCTGCAGAGCAGAGAGTTACTCGCCAGGCTGAGCCCGCACGGGCTCGCCGGCTTCGGCAATCATCACCATCATCACCATTCGAGCAGACTCGAGCAGGATCATCCGCCGGCGCGGCAGGAAATAATCACGGTGAAGGACTTCTCTAGAACGAGCCACGACAAGTCTTCCTCGCCCATTAGAATAGACCAGGAGATCCCGCGGGATCGCGACGATCATCGACTGACGACCAGTTCGCCGAGCGGAATCGGCGAGACGATGCTGCAACGGGAGCAAGAGCGCATTCAGGAGGAGGACGAGAGGATCGACAGGATCACTAATCCGAGATCCGTGTCGCCCGCGAGCAGACGCGAGATCCTCGACGATCGCAGCGACTCCGAGGCGAATCGCTCGCTGGAAGGCGACCGGACGACGGATCATCTGGATCTCGAGGACCACGAGATCAGAAGCGTCGGCCAGTCCGAGGATCTGAATGTAATGGACTCGGACTGCGAGCTGGAGAGGGACCTGGAGGCCGGCCAGGAGAAGGAGGAGAAGTCTAGCCCGGTAGTGCCTCAACCGATTCATCCCGGAGTGCAGAGGCCGTCGCAGGGGCCGCCGTATCTCGCCGGAGCACCCGGCGCTCCCGGCTGGAACCCCGCAGGATTTCCGCATTCTCTGGCGGGGTTCGCGTGGCTGCCCCCACCTCCGCATCCGCACAATCCTCATGGACATCTTTACACGCCGCACGGCGGACCGACCAGTCCGAACGGTAAGGCTAAACACGATCAAAGCGTCTCTCAAAATAGAAAGACTCGGCTACTTATCATGTGGTTTAAAACGTTTCGCATTACATTAAAACACTAAATTTATGATATTTTTTCAACACATGCTCGTAATATATAACTTATACCACTCAATCTGCTTTAAATAATGCAAATAAATGTCTCGCGCAAGATGTGAATGCTATAAATCGAATTTCGAATTGGATCGAATCGAAATAAGTGAATCAAATCGATAATATGAGTCGAATCGAATTTATGGTTACTTTTATTACTTTATTTTAATCTCGTTTTAATGTTTTAATTACGTACGAAGAAATATCTGCCTAAATCTTTCAAAAAAAAAAACGAAGAATATTAGGTGTAGACAGAAGTAGTTTTGCTTTTTTGCATTCGTTTTTTTTTTTTTTTTTTTTGTTCGAAACCATATGAGTGACAATGTCGGTGATTAGATAGAAAACGCAAACTTCTAATGCAACTCGCATGACATTTACGGCACGCAGACTCATAACGTTCTGCATTAGTGCCGCAGATCACGCGAATAGGCGGATATTATCGGCCTTACGTGCCAAAGAATTCGCTTATATTCCAGTTTACCTTCATCACGATTAAGCCTTAAAACTGAGACTTGAAAACTGCCGTCACGTATGATCGACGAGATACCTTCGTTTTAACCGATGACTTCTTTCCGAGCGGAAAGATTTAATAGGCAGATTTAATATAGGCGGAAGACTAACGATAGAATATAATTCTGCACAATGTGGCGCAAATTAGCAGATAAATATTTAATACGACGGACGTATATCATGCTTGAATTTATTATTGCCATTAAATTATTGTCATGGACATTCGTGACAATATTAATGTAGTCTAGTTTGATCACTGATTAAAAACTGCATTCCTCGGCATCTAATTTGATATCCTACGATATTTGTGTGACCTTCATAGTCATGTAAATTCTGTTTTAGAATTTTTATGTAGATTCCACGGTATTAATTTCGATGAATATTTCATTATAGCTTAAGTCTCGATGCTATCACGTTTTCTTTCACAAATTAATAAATTTGGAATAAATTTTTTAACGTTGAATACAAATTTGTTATGCGCGTTATAACGTTCTTATAACTATTAATCAATTATTCGATGAATCGATTCGTTAAGTAATTATCCGATTTTTCGCCAACTAAAATTACTTCACTTTATCTCATATTCTTGATTCGCCGTGCTATTTTTATCGCGTAGCAATAGTGTCAAATACTTTTTAGTACCACTATCTGTGCACATAAAATTACCATAGACATAACATCGGCTGTTAGTTCCAAGGACTACGAGAGTTAACATCGTTCACTTCGATCGAGTGCACTTTACTTACGTGCGCTACCGAAGTCGCGATTTTCACTTCCACACTCACCGACGTCGACTTCCCGGCGGGGTTGCAACTCGGCTAGTTAAGGTTTCGCTAACTTTCCTGATTCCGTTCCACAAACGTCACGCGGAACTCGAGCACCCCGTACTGCGGTCTGCGACCGGCTCCTTGAACCGCACGCGCGATCGGCGCGCAAGGTTCGATCGGGCTCGATCGCCATATATCTAGGCAATTGGGACGCACGGTCGGCGCTTACAAAGCGACGATAGGTGTTTTCCATCGCCTTTGGTGTGATGCAGGAGTGACCGTAGGTGACGCGAACGAAAAATCGGCCGCGCGGATAAAACTCGACGTAATTGCCTAATGAGGAAGGAGAAACCGTGAAAGCAACCGCCGCGCAATTTCTTGGGACAGGTACAAAAGTGATCAACCGCACAGATACAGATCTTGTTTCGTGACCGGTGGCGGATATATGGATTGTAATTGGCTAATAAATCGAGAAAGAAAGCCGCAGAGGTTTGAAGTCGCGATAATTAGACGTCGCTCCCGCCTGGGAGCACTTCGCTGATAAATAATTTACGATGACTTAAATAAGGAAATTAGCTGCGATTTATTAATTGCGAACGTCTGTTTCTCTCGAATCTTTCGCGATTAGTATTTGTTCACAGGAGTTTCGATCGTTGCGAATCCATTCTTAAAAAAGTAAAATATAAATCAAGAGAATATATATACAGTATAAAATATAACGGAATGCAAATCATTTATCTAGATCTTTGCGATCAAAATGCGATGTTAATTAACGATGGTGATGTTTGAATCACGTTGGTCTTCGCATTATTAATTCTCCTGCAGTCGCAGTCGTTATTATTTGTCTAAGCGAGTGGAAGATTCCTTAAATGGAGAAGGACGTCGAAGTGCAAAGACTCCTGTCGTCGTGCGAGTGGAGAACTCGTGAACACCGCTGCATCAAAATCCGTCTCTAATGGACAATTAAAGTAATACCTCATTAAGGTGTAACCGACACCTTCTCCGCGCGATGGGCTAGTCGTACATCGTAGTACTCTTCAGGCTACTCCGCGTCGAGTACTCGAGTACTTGCGAGACTGAAAAAGGACGAGAGTGCTCCTCGTACCTAGCTTCGTTACTCGCGTGTCAACTTTTATGCTCGCCGAGAGCCTCGTAATGGTTTTAAAGATTTCTTTCTCGGAAACAGCGCGAGCCCCTCATTATGCGCGGATATAATTTCACTCGCAGGAACTTCGAGATTTGCAACATTATTTTATACTGTGATATTGAACAAACGAAGAATAAATTGTCGCTGGATATTTTTGAAAATTGCCTTTGAAAAATTATCTATCACAATATTCGAAGAACTTTTTCATTGTTGCAAAATAGCAAAATCAATCTTACGATAAATAAAAAAATTATTAAAAAAGTGTAATAAAATTAATGCAAACAATGTAATTCCACTTATTTGCCACATTGATATAACACTTGACTGTATATCGACGGAAAAATCGAAAGAGAGAAAATATTAGGAAGGCACGCAAGCATGAAACTGATATGAACATATAAGAGCGGTAACTCGCTACGCGCACTTCCTTATCTTTTAAAGTGGCATAATTGAAAGTAACATTTACAACACTCAATATGAAGCGGCACGGAATGGTAATTGGAGGAAGGGAAAATATTGGGAAGACACGCAATCCCGCAACTAATGGGAATACATCTAAGCGACTGTCATTACATGAATCCCCCTATCTTTTAAAGTAACGTAATTGAATATAACGAATTGCATCATTTACGTCAACCGTAACAAAATCCGGATCTCGAGTGTAACATCGAAGAAAATATTTGAAAGATCGCGAGAATTAATGAAAACACATAACACGGATACACGTTGCTCGCGCGCAATCTTATTTTTCAGACAGAATGCGAAAACTCTCGACGAGGGTGAAGCGATCGATTCAGTCCGCCGGTCAGAATCGCCAACAGTTCGACATGATAGAGTCATACATAACTCACGACATCCATAATACAGTCAAGAGGGACCGAGAAAAAACTGCTCTTGTTAAGGTGGCCCGTTAGGTTTGGTGTAGCGAGCTCAGCTTTCCGTGCGATGTCGCTTAACTTTTTTTTGCGAACGATAACGACAAACTATTCGCCTGTTGGCTTATTTTCCCTTACTCTTTACATTCTTCTTATGGGTATTTTTTTTTTTTCATTTTCTTTTCGTTGATGCGCGACACTAATTACTAGCATTTGAAGCAGAAACCGGAGCAGATTAGCATTTATATTGCACTTGAATGTTTGCAACAAAATGTTGGTTTTGCTTTGAGATGATTACTTGCTTGCTGAAAACATTGTTAATTATAGTGCCTTTTGTTAGAATTAAATTAACTGCAGCAAAAAAATTATAATTTACTAAAATCCGTTGTAAATTTAATAAAAATTAACTTAACAATAATTCAAGTTGACAGAATTTATCTTCATAGTAAACAGACACATTGTCTTTCGTATTTTGCATATTTGTAACTTTATCTCTCCGGTCTGAAAAATTAGACAGTGAAAAGCTTATTAACCCGTTTCCACGAGCCTTCTACCGCTGACAGTTATATCGTGGGGTGCGATACGAGGTTCGCATAGCCGATAATCTCAGGGCCCGTCGCTGGGCGGCGGCTTTCGAAAATTATGAATACGGACGTCATTTATAACGCTCGAACGCCGCGCACGCTGCCCGCACGCATTTATCTGGATTGCGCGCGCAGGAATGAATTAACGACGACCGCCCCGCGTCCAATGATGTTCTACAAAATATTTCGGACGATTCATCATTCCATGGACGTAATTACCCGCCTCGCTCGTTTCAGCGGCCCGGCGCGACGCCCGCTGCTGCCGTCTGGAAGCTAGCATGTCTTTTTTTCAGCATATCCGAAATCCAGCATCCGTTGATGAAAACAGCACGGCTCATTACGATGCAACTGTCTTCTAATTTTGTACTCATTTTGTACAGATATTTGCATGAACTACGTGCTCAAATAATAACGCATCGAATATGAAAATATTATGTGATGAGCTACATGTTTTATTAATATACAAGAACCATTTAATAGCATTTAATTAGCATTGACAATCGTAATTCAATCATGTTTAAAAGTGAATAATTTATTTTTATAAAAGAAGTTATTTGAAAACACAATTTTACGTTACAATTTAATTCAATATTTGATTAAAGCTAATAATTGCAAAATTTATAATTTTAGGATATGAGTGTAGCAATTTGCATTAGGTTTAGCATTAAGAATGTTGCTAATTAGGTCGATTCAGCTTGACTTAAATTTATTCAACGTCTGAACCAATCTTTATTATCGTATTTGGCAACGCGAAAATTTTTAGAACGCCGAGTAAAAAGAGAAACGGGACGAATATCAGCGGCAGCGCGCGGTCATTACGGCGATGTAGTCATTCGCGTGCGTGTTTCAGCGATCAGGTAATTAACAGAAATTAATTAGCAGTCAAGAAGAACATATTGATCGGTTACGTGCGCGGCATGGCTAACTTTGGCGTGCGACATGAAATCGCTATGTTACCGCGTGAATGGATGCGACATCGACGTAACGACAGATTGTGTCTGGCTGCGCGCGGATTTGCGTTATCTTCTTATGTGCCTCTTCCTGCAAACTTAAACATACATTGGGGATACTTGGCACAAATGTATGTCAAGAAATACAGGCTATCATGTTTGTGAATTTTTTAGTATCTCCGCGAATGTCTCATAAATTTAGAACGACCGCGCTAGAGATATCAAAGTGTTGCAAAAAAATGTTATTTGGTCGTAAAAAATTATATAAAGTTATTCGTTATAAGCAATTACTTTTTATTGCCTCATTATTCGTACGTGATATTTATCATTTTATATAATACGTGTGATCATTAGCTACAACTTTTAGTGTTGAATCGTATGGAGAAAGAATTTTAAGGCAAGTAAATAATGTCATAATTTATCACAATTCCAGTGTTAATTAACAATTCATGAGCATAACAGTAGCAGTAGCAATTTCTCCAGTATCGTTACATTAATTTGAAAATAAAACGTCGTCGAGAAGCAAGGAAACGTAATTAGCAAAATATTTATTACAAGATTACGCGTCACACGATCCACATGCGATGCCCTTAAACGCGAAAGAAAGCGATGTGGGTAGACCCGACGTCTTGGATCCGCCTGAATAACTATTTAATTAGCAGAAATTAATTAGCCTCCGAGGAGGACATATTGATCGGTTATGTGCGTGAACCCGCCAGTTTCCCCAGGCGACACACGGAGTCGGGGAACGCGGCGCAACGGGAATGGAAGACGTAATACCGGTGTCCCGACCGATCCGGTCGACAATGTCGGCGGCCCGTGCCTTTTTTGTACTCGGCCGATCGTTAATTAGCGCTCGGAATCCACGCGTGCCCTCCTCGCCGTCGCGAAATCGTCATCGTTTCGTCGAGCGGGATGTCGAAAACACTTTTTCACGGTGCCGTACAAAATCGAGCGATGTAACTTCGCATCTGGCCGACGTAGGGCCGCTGCTACGAGATATCAATTACTCTTACTCACATGCGAGCAGTCGCTTATTTCGAACGTATCGCGCGATAGTTATAGGAAAATAATATATCTAATTAGAGAATACGCGCGCGCGGTAAAAGGTGGCTATTGGCGAGCCCACTGCAATTTTTAATTGATGTCAATACTTCATTTGGCCTATTGTGCGCCAGCTTTTAAAATATACATTTCATGTTGGATATTAATCATTGTATTTATATAGAAAAATGTTCTTGGCGCACAACAATGTCGTAAGACCGTATTTTTTACTCTTTTAAAAATATATATATTTTTACATCATATTTTTAAATGAACTTTAATAAAGCAGACAACTTAAATACATTTATTAAAAAAAAAAAAAAAAAACAAAAACAAAAGAAATGCGACTTACCGTCGACGTAATCGCATTACAGAGAAAAGGTGGCGGATCTTTACGCAATAGCAACTAATTGCATATGAACCGATCGTAAACAACGGCCGATGATAATCATGCCCGCCGGATGCATGAAACTGAGATGATGCCTTGATAATTAGGCGCCGCTCGCTGAGCATTCAAGCGCGATTTTATTTTTATTGATTAATTTGCACTCTCGTCATTTACCGTGGGACCGTAACCGCTTTATCACGCGAAACGTACGAAATGACGTTTTACCGAGCTATCATTGCGCCCGTAAATTGACGACTAACATCGCATATTCAACGTTAATTATCACTCGATGAGTGCACGAAGTTGGTGGATCGGCGTTTTTTAATAGTATAAATGCTATAAATATTCGCGGATGTTATTATTACCTTTCTTTCTCTAATGCTAACGATGCGGATAGCAAAGTAATGCTGCAGGATAATGTTATTTTCATCCTCTCTACGCAAACAGGAATACCGGCTCAAAATCATTCAAAATGACAGTAGGCGAAGATGAGTTTATAAATGATTCGCTAATAAAAACTTTACATCTCCGTGTATCGGGAAGATTGGTTATACGTTCTAACTGTATAAATAGGCTTCTTATAACGTTCACTTTTAGCTTGCGTTTTTATAAAATAAATCGAAGTTTACAGTTCCGGTTCGATCCATTAAGAAACCTTTTATATTACATCATTGAATATATAAAAATGACATATTTTTGCAAATTAAAAACTTGCCGTACGAAATAAACTCTTATGAGCGTTTTATGTTCAAATGTGAAATCTTTTCCAAACATTTGCGTTTGATGATAATTTACACGAAGATGGAACATCTATTTGAACACATGTCTTTTCTTTTTGTTTCAGGGGACTTAAGACTGCCGGGACCCGGGCCAGGCCCGGTCAGATGCACCCTCAGAAAGCACAAGCCAAACCGAAAACCGAGAACGCCGTTCACGACGCAGCAGCTGTTATCGCTCGAGAAAAAGTTTCGCGAGAAACAGTACCTGACGATAGCCGAAAGAGCAGAGTTCTCGTCGTCCCTTCATCTTACGGAAACGCAGGTGAGACGCTCAATTGATATGCGAGCTATTAACTCTTTCAGAATTGAAAGAAATCTCATTGATATTTCAAAGGAACATGTGCGCTAAGAAAGAAGTTAATTAATCATGACTTTTACCCGCATGTTTAAGACTATAAATAGTTAACGCGCTTAGAATAGATCAGTCATGTTGAATCTTAAAAACATGGGAAAAATACGTGTGCTTACGTTATCTGATAAATAAGATATCTGACAAAAAAGAATACATCTCTCTTACATGATATTAAATGAAGCATGAGTCTTATTTAAAGAGTATAATTATGCGATAAGAATTATTATAATTTATTAGCTATATTTATCTTAACATTGATTAAATGGGCGTTTCAGCGAAATTAATTTGTTTTTCAAGCAAACAGTTTTTGCCGCTCACAATTAATATTCTTATGTCTGCATACTCGAGGAAATTTAATTGCAAATTATTTTTATTCTTTTTCATACTTTTGATTTTGTACTACCAGAATTTTTTTTTTATAATAAAATGGGCCATTATCGCGCGGTTAGCGTGTTCAGATACACTTTGCGCATTCGTTACAATGCATCAGTCAAAATGAAACACCACGTCGCATTCATTTGCTTAGATAAGCTACGATTACCCTGCCATCTCCTCGTGTCGCTTAAACCGCCAAACCGTTCCTTCGACCCTGCTCTCTCCTCTCATTATTCACCTCGGACAAAGAGGCATGTCCACAATTCAAATCGTGATACTCGCGGCGACATTCATCTGTATAGTCTTATAGAATAATTTATCACTTCGTGCAAGAAGGTGTGTAATTTTTTTATGAATAGTGCAAGAAACAAGTCCAAATGATTGATATAGTTTAAAATCAGCATTCAATTCTTATCGCTCGAACTAAATTTGATATTTATGCATTATAAATGACAATACAATAATAATTTGTGTATACTCTTACTCTCTCAAGTTTAATTTGACTTAAATCTTTAATTTTCCATGAATTGTATCTGTACGAAAGCTTGAATATACAAAAAATTAATTTAGTCGAATTGATGTCACGAATTAATCAAAGGCGAATTAATCAAAAGGGAAACATTTTCTAGACAGCTATGGCAATATTTTTCAATATCTTCTGCAAACAGCGCACGATCATTATCGCATATTGAAGTATTCAAACATATTATCGAAAATGAGCGCTCGTTAAAAGCATCATCGATGTGGAATGATTTCGGAATTCTAATACCCGACAATCGTCTCTATACCCACGTCTTCGTGCCAAAGTACCGCAAATTAGCTGTCGATTCAAAGTGACAGCTGCGTAAACGACGGAATTCGCATACGACTGCGCAAATAACAATTAAACGCGATTTAACGTTAACTCGACTCGTTTGTGCGTAAACTCGACCGTTATGCGTGTCACTATTTGTGACGTCGAGAATTTCTCGATACATTGATAATTTCTTATTAGCTCTGACGCTTTGTTGACCGTTTTGACTAATAGTGCGCTAAAAGTTTGCACACGTTTGTATAAAAACTTTTATTTGCCAATTATATCGTTCTGGTATTCAGCGACATGTTAATCATTAGATTATTGTGCAATTTTATTAATCGTACTCACAGACGTACGCGATAACGTGCTGTTTGCTGAAATTTCCTAGCCATTCGTGTTCAATGCGACGTCGGCTAATAACTGCGTAACACTTGCGCAATGTTTGCTAAACGAATCTGTCACATGCCACAATGTAACACAATGTAGAATTTATGAATTCTCACACAATTCGATGTTTTTTCAGACAATATTCTCGAGTAACGTAAAAAAAATTTGTTCAGAAATTGCTAATTAATTTTCACAACTGTATATATACGCAATTAAATGTAGAAAAATATTCCACACAGGAAAATTTACTACACATGTTACAAAAATAGTCACGTTATTTGCGTCAAATGCATCCGTTATCATCTCTAAACATGAACGCCGTAATGTTCCAGGTGAAGATCTGGTTTCAAAATCGAAGAGCCAAGGCGAAACGGCTTCAGGAGGCAGAAATAGAGAAGCTAAGACTATCCGCGAGGCCTCTCTTGCACCCCAGTTTCGGCTCGGGGCTGATGTTCTCCGGGGTGGGCCCACCTGGTACCCCAGGAGTGCCTCCCTTCATTGCGGCTGCCATGGCTAGGCATACTCATGCCGCAGCGGCGGCAGCTATGTTCATGGGACCGCCTGGGCACCGCCCTTAATAACGATACTTCAGCGATACGTGTGCGATTTAAAATCATTCTTGATATCTAAAAATTTGACAAATCTATTCTTAGAAAAAGATCCGATGATGTAGGATCTGTGAATTTAGTGATGCAAGAAGATAAGAAAATCCAAAGACTAAGGATTCATGGAAACAAAAAATCTATACGCTTAATTATTCGAGACATAGAAACTTGAAAATTTTTAATATCACAAGTCCGAGAATTAAGAAATGAAGAAAGAACATGTGAAACTAGTGATCGCGAAGAACCTAAGAAGCAAGAATCGAAAAGCTAAAGAAGACGAAAATTGGAGAATTGAAGACTCAAGAAAGCAGAAGTTGAGTACATATTAAATCGAATCTCCGCGAGTGATTTTTCTTTCAAAAAAATTGTCTAAGATTTCTCGACTGCTCTTGTTTATTAGCCCTTTATCTGGATTAATCACTCAATCTTCTACCAAGAATATTAGGATCCATCACTTAGCGTTGGAAACCGGATTAGCTAGAAGCGATGCAACGATACTCGCGCGTTAACCCCGGGCGCCTTATCTCCAGAGACATATGGATAATCTGACATTCAATTGAACGAAGCCTGAAGCTATCGTTCGGGAAGTCTAACTGAAAAAACATCGTCGTAATATTCCCTGAACGAGTATACGTGTATTAGCGCCGTGAAAGGCGCTCGAAAACTTTGATCTCAAGAGAAAGCATAAGTGTACATAGTGTAAATAGATACGCGTTCGTACGGTAACTATGAGTGTACGTATGTATATACACACGTGTACAGGACGCTTCGATTACCCTCACAGAGGTGAAATCACGAGGAGCGAGCGTTTGTGAGAGTTAGTTTTAACGATTTGGACTGCGCTGGATCTAGCAAACATTCGTTCCCGAGTTTGTTTTAAATGCGGACCGCTCAAAGTGCAGCGACGAATGAATATGTGAGGTACGTTTAAACAATTCCGAGTCTGAGAGCAGTAAAGAAAGAGCCAACGTTAATGCCAAATGTAATAATTATCTCCCTGAAAGTAATAGCGCTCATATTAAAGAAAACAAATCTAATCAAGTTCATCAGAAGTATTTATTTTTTAAGTATCAGATTGCACAGTTTTAGTCGTATTCTCAAAAATTATATTAGTCGCATCATGTGATGTTTCTGACGGTAAATAAAAGACGAACCATTGATCTTTCATCGGCAAGCACGTCATTTAGCTCTGACATCTTTCAAACTTGTTGAATTTTTTCTACGCGAGCAAACGAAGTAAGTGCATGCAAATTGTGTATCTCAGTCTGTATCGATCGTGAATCGAGGGAGATGGAATCGTTCATAGGCAGTAAAAACTAACGTTACGAATGTGGCAAGGTTCTAGACGTACCTATGCGCCTTGTATAAATGTAAGATGATAATTTATCCATGGAAGTATATTATAGCAAAATAAAAATGATTTCAATATTTACGTTTCGCCGATTTTTCAATCCTTGACGCAAGATGTACGAACCAACACTTCTATTACACAGATATCCACAGATACAAACCGTAAGACAAAAGTGTATTTTATTTTCAAAATTACTAACATTAATATTTTATTTTTTAGGTTACATTTTATCCGATTAAAGAAAGAATGCACAAAAAATAGTTTGCCTAATAACTCCGAAAGAATTACTAATAAGCGTCTGAACCACTTTTTGACGCTGTGATTAATAAATTTATAAATACAATGATGCAATCAATCGGGCGCCACTTCTTCCTGAATGAGGCGTCGTATTTAAGCTGGACAAAGAGGAAAAAAATGGCTCGTGGGGTTCGCCCCGACGCGATCGAATGTATTGCACAGTCATCGACAAGTCGGCTTCATATATGGCAAGTAGTCAATCCGGTGGTATAAGGCGACCGAAAGTGTCCGCCAGATAATTAGAAATATGTTAATCCACCTTGGCTGCTAATTGGTTTTTGACTAAATTTTTAATTAAGTCTTAAGCCTGGGCGGCACGCTGATTTATCGAAGGGAAGGTTCGCGGCTAATTATAAAATATATATAGAGGACGCACCAACACATGTCCACGCCGGTCGCTCGTTATCATATTTATGCACACTTCGCTGTGTGCATCTGTCTCGTTTTACACTGAGTGGCCATAGGCGCCTGCAGCTCGTTTTTTGGCAACGTACAATTTTCCGAGACGAAAAGAGAAGCTGTACCATCCCGATAATTGTCTTGTCATCTGAGCATTTTGTGCAAGCGCGCAAAGTTCGAAGGCGTCAACAATTCGCGACGGAATTTGCCATTATTTTGTGATAAATAATTTAATTTTCTTTTACACAAATTTAATTTGAGAATTTACCGGCCGGTGTTATTTAATATTGAAAATGAAGAAGTTTATGAGAGGAATTCAATTATTTAAAATTCTTATTGCTGCACACGATCGTTTTTTGTGATAATAATAGCAACATTTTTAATATTACTTAATATTATTTAATAGTGTTTAGATGATTAAGAGTAAAAAACAAATTTTAATAATATCGATTAGATAAAGAAAGAGTGAACGTTTAGATGTGTGAAACATCTTCGAATCTTTAAATTGTCGGATCTTAAATAATCAATTAATCGAGACTGATGAAATCCTGCTATCTAAATGTCAACAAATCGCTGCCTAGATGAATAAAATTAAGAAGCGAGTTTTAATAGTATTGATTAGATATAAAGGAAAGAATGTTTAGATGTATGGATCTTACAACAACTTCCAATCTTTAAATCTTCGGGTCATTAAATAAGCAATTACTCGAGAATGATGAAATCCTGCTATCTCAATGTCAACAAATCGGAGATTGAATATGTATCAAGCAGTTCAGAAACCGATCGTCCCGAGGTGAGTGGCAAAGCGCAAAGAGATCCTTTAAGAGCGACGATTCACCGTTAAAGGCTTTACAAACAGGCGCCAGATATTCACTACCCGTGTAGATCGGAAGCTGTTCGGGAGATGCCTTGTTCTCTCCTCCTTCCTGCTGTATTCTCCAAAGCCTGTCAACCGCCTGCGTCCGTTTCTCGGCGCGACCTCAGTCGGCGCTCCCATATAGATGAAATTTATGTACCGAGCCGGCCGATCCTACGCATACGGCCACATTGAGCGCTGACAATTAATTAAAGAATAATTTCTTGTCTTCGCGATACGCGGAGGAGCATCGCCAGTTGGCGTCCAATTATGCCCTCGGACCGTAACGGAATACCAAGTAGGTCCGTCGACGACACCGAACACCACGCACTTCTTCGTGGCTGTTCTCTTGTAACCCTCCTCGTCCGAGTAGCTAACTCCGTTAACAGTGTGATTTATAAAACGCAAATCGCGCAACAGTGTTTGCGTCTTAATTATAAGGGACAGCGGACTTCAATTTCTTTTGTTCTCTTTAGCTTTGAAGCACAGATTTCAAATCATTTTCTAAAAAGTCTTTAGCATGAAAATAAACTGTGACTTTCGTAATATTCGATTTTGAATTTTTTCAAGCAAAGAAAGTGAATTATAACATTGGTTTTATCAAATTTTATTTTACTTTTTGCTATATAAAAATCGGTAGTATTATATGCCGAAAAGACTTTCTGCCGGCACTTACTTCTTAATTATATCACCATTCGATTTGATGTCGGTGTATTTTTTGTTCAATAATTGACCGGTACTACAAAACTGGTCGCAATCATTGAAAAAATTCGGAAAAAAAGCAGAAACATACGTGGTAAGCGAGATGGGCCGGAAGGGACCAGAGAGGGAGGGGAGAAATATTCATGGTTAACGCGTGCATCGAAAGCAGGGCTCTGCTCATTCAGTTTATCCAAATTAATTGGTCGTAAATTAAGCAGCCCGGTCTGACGAGCGGTCACGATGAAGAAAGCGGGATGGTGCCGACTGAAGAGCCGAGAGACACGGCTGAATGCGCATCTAGTGGAAAAGGCACGAGCGAGTGAGAAAGAAATTTGGACAAGAAGGGAGGCAAATAGGTGAGGAACGAGAGAGAAGAAGATGCTCGCGGATGAAAGAAAAGGCAAATTAGAAAAAAAACCAAAGGGGTGAACTTTGGGAGGGGAAACCGGCCGGGGGACAGTAGCGCATCGACACGCTATTATGTAGCGGCTGGGACTAATTTATACAAGAGAAAGACAGAGAGACTTTACGAAAAGTCAATCGCGCGGCCGAGAAAGAGAGAGAGGAAGGCCTCGGTGGCATTATTTAAGACAAGGGGCCTTATCCTAATTGGAAGCCTGCCACTGTTTCAACGGGTGTACCGGCGCTTGGATTCGTGTCTTCCGCCGGGGATTACGGAGAATCAGAAGCGGCAACCATACCGAGAAAGGCAAATTATCCTCATCGTGGTTTTGATCATAAATTTGGAAGTAGTATATGGAAAGTGTCGGAAGTTTACAGATGCGCGATAATGCGTAATTATCCAAATCTTATCTCGCAATTAATTTTCTCGTTTATCGTTTTCTTGATGTCTACTTTTTTATTATTTTCTCTTTTCAATATTGTAACATTATAATATTACAATTAAATTACAAATATATAATATTGTAATATTGCAGTATTGCAAGGAATTTTGCTTTTATACAATATCAAGTTTCTCTATCAATTTTACAAATTAGTTCGATTGATATCGTATTGAAGAAAATAACGCGTGCAAAAATACGCGCACCTCATATACTTTTAAGGGTTACTTCAAAGATGCGCTTCGATAAAATTGTAGGGAAGTAAAATAATCGCGTTGTCGCTCGAAATACCATAAATCGAACGCACCGAAGAGCGGCGATCATGTGCCGTTGCCGGTAATTGCCGGCGAGATGAATCGAGACGAAATCCCGTTTCCGACTTCGTAGAAAATTTACGGAGCCGATCGAGGCGGCATCGAAGCGTTTACGGCGAGAAAGTTATTCGCTACGGCTGCAAGAAAGTCGCGGCCGATGCAAACGCGTCTCTTCAAAAGTACCGAGGAACCGAGTTCCTAATTAGGAGCAAGGAGCTTGATGGTCGTTCTTACACGTATTAACGATAGAACGAACATGGAAGCGGCGAGACGGGATCGTAAGTAAAATTCATAAGTAATTTTGTTTATAACGTCACATCTAAACCTCCGCTTTATCTTAAAAAAAAAAAAAAATGTTTCGAAATAAGAATACTTTTTTCATAAAATTACTTGTTCTAATATCCATCTACAAAATTCAGCGTAACTTTAAGAACGTCATATTTTAGTTTTAAAAAATTGAGAAAAAGGAAGTGAATCATAGATAAAAAAAAAAAAAAGATAATGTGAAGTATTCGGCAATAATTTTAATAATTTATAGATTCGCGAGTTTTTATAGCCGTCATTACTTGAAGATCCTATCATCAAGATCGAGTCCGGTCGTCAGCTCGCATCGCAATAAAGAGATAATAACTGTATTATTTAATCACCGGCACTTTTCTGAGCGCGAAAGCGTAAGGCGTTTTACACGCGAGGCGATTGTCGTGCGGAATGCTAGTTTAAGTAGGTGTTCCACCGGCTCCCGGTATTCCAGGAGCAATTAGCGCGGCGACGAGACGCGAGGCGGCGGCGAGGCGCGGACGCGGGAGGAAAACGAGTGGACGGAAATCACTTTAATATCTTTCTGCCTCGACAGTCGGCGGCGCGACCGGTTTGTAAATAGGATGAAATGACACCGCATTATGAATTGTCGGCGTAAACGCTCGTTTTTTCTCCCGATTTCGCCGTAGCGACGACGGTAGCAACGCCGATTATCCCGGCGCAGACGCGGGCGCGATGAAAAACGAAAAGATCGTAATTATTTCCAGAGACTCGTCTCTACCGCAACGTGGAGAATGTTGCTACTATTAATTGCTGAACGGAACTCGTCCCCTATGAATATAGATGAAAGCGAGAGAGAGAGAACCTCTTTTTTTATTTCTCGCCGATCAGTCGAAGAAATCGAGTTACACCGATCGACGTCGTCCCCGATCTTTGAATTTATATCAGTAAGTCTAATTTATTATAATACATTGATTTTAAATTAATAGTGTTAATTTATTAATAGTGTTACATTACAAATTAATTATTTGTAAAGAATATTCAAGAGGTAGTTTTGAAGTCTTTAAAAAGTAAATGAGAAAATTATGTAGTCGAATTATAGTCTTGAATTAAAAATTTTAATTCACGTTTGTTTTAACTAAGCTTTATATTCATCTTCAAGGTATTTAGTGTTTTTATATTTGTTACAATATAAAATTTCTGTTCTGCTACATCTAAAGTTTATATTCTCATTTGTTCATTTTTATTCTTTATTTATTGATTATTGTTTCGAAAAAACAACGGGACAAAATTTCGATTTCGGAAACGTTCGAGTGGCAGATCACGTTCGCGGTTGAGCCGACAAAAACAATGGCAGAATCCTGGTGCAATTAGTCGATATTTTAATGCGCAAAAAATCAATCCCTCGTTAGA